AAAGGCAGTAAGAGGCTATCATGCAGGGAAAAGATTAGACAAAGCAAGAACTTATCCATAGAAATAAGTGTTCCCCATTTTGAGTGAGGGACTAGTTGAAACTCAACTTTCATATTTGGGATTCTCATGAGTTTCATTCAATTTTAGGAGGCATGAGTAATACACGTGAACATGAAGATTTTATGTTGTACTAAGTAATACGTAAATATTTTACTACAAGAGAACAACAACTACACATGCGTATCTTGTTAACATTTCCATTTGCCATGTTATTTTTTCACTTAAAAGATTTACTTGGGAATAGCCGTGAGAGTTTAGTAGACTGTAACTGGCATTGTTTCAGACTTTCATCTAAGGAAGATAGATAGCTATAAAGAGAGACTAATGATTACATTAACTGGTTTTTAAAAATTGCCAATCAGGAATAGATATACTCGAGTCGGTTCAGGATCTGGAGGTCGACAAAATCCAGTTCGAGGAATCCTAAGACTATTATCAACAACTGAAGTTTGGATTGAAGATGAATTTTAGAGGTAGGGCGAATATAAACCGGTGCTCAAGCTGATGCGAAACCAAAATTATAATGAGAGAAGAAATTACAAGTATTTATATGAAGCCCATAAGTTTGTGAAAAGAATAATATTCACAAAAATTCTTGGAAAAATGGCATGAAAGGTAGTTAAAAGCATCAAATGTGTATGTACTATATACCATTATCGGTCTAAGTTTTTATCAAAATCATTTAGGGGCTGTTTGGGTACATGGAAATCTACTACATGACAATAGATTACAAGGAAAACTGACATTTACATTGTTTGGATACACTTTAATAGTAAAGAAATTGAAAGACATACATGAGATGATCCGAGATTTCCCCAAAATCATGAAATCCGCGGTGAAGGATGAAAAATCTATTACGAGTTGAAATCTCGAAATCCATTACACACGGTGAAGGGTGAAAAATCTATTACAACGTTGATGGGTAATCTTTGTAAATCTTTTGTGTATGTTTCTTCTCTATTCCCGTTTAAAAAAACATTTCTCTTCCCTGTCCCTGCTTAAAAAAACCCTTCTCTCTCAGGTATACGTTGTATTGTATAATTATTAAGATAAGTAGAAAGTAAAATGTAGGCGATATGAAAAAGGGAATCCAAATTGATTTGAACAGTTTTAAGAGAACAATTTTCTACTACAAATCATAATAAAAAATTTCTACATCCTTCTATCCCCAATTTGGTTGTAGCCCTCATCTCACTCTCATATAAAAACAAATTTTTTTAATAATTGGTGAGTGAAAGTAGAGGGACATCTAAATTGATTTGAATAGTTGTAGAACTTGATGAGGGACAATTTTCTACTGCAATCATAATAAAAAAATTTCCACATAACTCTATCCCCAATTTAGGTTGTACCCGGCCATCAGCTCTAATATAAAAACAAATATAATACAAATAATAATGATAATCGATGAAAACTTACACAACACAATCATAATAAAAATTTAACACAACATAATCCTCATAAGAGATTAGTAAACGCTCAATTGAAATAAGATACCTCTTTAGTCTCCTCCAATGCTTCAAAATTTTCTACTGCAATTACCAAACATTCTAGTTTACTAATCAAACTTCTTCCCATTTTTTAAATTTGTACCTTAAAGATTTTGATTTTTTTGGGTTCATGTGGCCTTCCCATTTTTTAATTTGTACCATAAAGATTTTGATTTTGTTGGGTTCATGTGGCCTTATGAGTGCTTGTAAAATGAAATAATAGAGTGAAACATAAACTCAGTGGGAGTGTGGCCCCTCGTGGGCCATACTAAGCAAACGATGCTTACAGATATTGGACTGTGCTTGACGATCTAAGCCAGTCGGTTGGGAAAAACCATATTACCGGGGCATAAAGAACAAACCGATAAGGGTTCTAATAGGTTAGACATTGATGAGTTCAGAGAATATGCCCAGATGAGTGAGCCGAGGGACTGTGTGACCCTTGTGTATGATGATGGCCTACAGAGACGGGGGCCAAAGCCTCATTCATGTGTAATCACACGGCATGCATATCGATAGATCGTTCGGAAAAGCCAAAAATCCTCCTTTTAGGGTGAAACGTATGCATGTGCGAGAGATACCCTTATGCACCATTGGAGCTATGGTCGCATAAGGTCTAGGTGACATCGACTCGTCTCTAAGGGAGGACCTGAAATCCACAGAGTGGGATTGCGATCCCTTTGCTCATCGACTGGACTTTAGTGACCTGCTAATGAGCCAGTGCTTGGACAGTGGGTCATGGGAAATACTGGGTCGGTCTGATAAAGCAAGTGTGGTCTGTAGTCTACAGTTGAAAGTGGAGTGCCCCATGATTGTTGATTCCTGAACCATATAGATCTTTTTTGCATCAAATTAATTTAACTATATTTTTTTTATGATAGAAAGTATTTTAAGATTATTATTTGAATTTATTTATAATTTTTGGATTTCTAAAATTAAAGATATTGATTTTAAAATTATTTAAATATTCAAATCATATTCTAAAATTCTTTTAAATTAATTTTAAATATATAAAAATATCATATTTGTTAGTGATATGGTATGTAGCCATATGGTTGGAAGATATTGACTAAATATTGACTTGATATATCTTTGAAAGATTTTGTTGAAAGATTAAGTGGACTTGTGCTATTTTATGGTGTGCACAATATTTTGATTGGATTTAATATATTTAATTTCTATTAATGAGAAAATGGTTTAAGAAAAGGGGATAATGGTTTATGCACCTTCCATAATGTTGATAGCCCATCTATCGAAGGGATAGCTCAGATCTCTCACCTCACAAGTCACCCTTGATCGACGGTCTATGTTCAATCTCACAAGAATAGGCATGCCAAAGAAAGTTCTAAGAAACCATAATCTTATTCAAAGCCTATAAAACAGAATTGTCTCTACCAAAAAATCTCCACAACGTATCTTTCTATCTGTCTCTTTTAATAAAATTTATCTCTCTCATGTTTGATCTCTCTCTCCCATATTGTGAAAGAACCTAAGGGCTTAGGTTACGGAGTTCTTTTCTCCTATCTCTCAAATATGGATTTACAGCTAAGGGTTTAGCAAAAAGATAATTCATCTCTCTCAAACTAGGTTGTTAAAAGAATTCACCTAGGGTTTGAGTTTGTGATCACAAGGGTTCATGTTCTATTGGTATGGCTTGGCCGAAATTTGTTTTCCCGGTTGGAGATTGAAATTAGACCATTGATCCCACGCCATCCCGGTTGTTTCAATGGCATCAAGTTGTTAAGTTATTGATTTTATTGTTATGCTGATTTTATTTTGAAATTCTTCTTATTATAATAAAGACCACATGTAAGTGATCTTTTGCCAAAAGAAAGGGGTGGGAAAAAAAAAAGGTATTCTCCGATAAAAGATCACATAGGTCTAAAAGATCACATAGGTCTTTCTTTCAGATTTTGGTATCATAAATTAATTGCTTATTTGAAATTATATATAGAAAGACATTTGAAAGACTTCTATAAAACATAAATAAAAAAAAAAGCTTATCACAATAAAATCATGTTATTCCAATCATATTATTCCAATGACTTATCATGTTGAAAACCAAGTCTAATCATGTTAGCCAAACATAGCTATATTTTTCATATTTGGATGGTAATGCATTTCTCATATTTCTTCCAAACATAGCCAAACATTAGCAATGTATTTCTCATATTTCTTTCAGACATAGCCAAACAGTAGCAATGTATTTCTCATATTTCTTCCAGACATAGCCAAACAGTAGCAATATATTTCTAGGTATCCAAACAACCCCTTATAGTAAATGTGATGAAGCCAACTCCTTTTTTCCCCTTTTTTTTTTTTTTTATTAACAAATATTGAAATAGAAAAGAAGAGGACGATGATCATACAAAAGGCATGAAACTAGGCATAAATCTCAGTGTGGATAAATTGGAGCAAATACCAATTCTCAATCTGAAACTTCACATTCGACCTTTATAGAAAAGGTGAACTTTATTCAATTAACACATCCCAGCCGATCGCGTCCATATCGTGTGGCTGTGGCTACGATTGATGTGAATTTTCCATCCAAAAACTGCCATTGTCTTTTCCTTCTTCCTTTTTTATGACAAAATCCAAATGTTAACTAGCCTCATTCCACACGTAATCTTAATCAAAAGATAAGACAGATTAATCAAACTAAATCACTTATGACTCTCTTAACAGTTATTATGCATAAGCTAGACTTGTTCCATGAAAATCATTGAGGTAACTCACTTTTTCAATATTTTGCCGCCTTCCACAAATAGAGAAATCAACAAACTTTGCAACCTTTGGATAGTATTAGATATTGGATGAATTTGTAGAAAGCTTGGGCTTTCTGAAAACAAGGTAAGCACTTTGGGCATCAGAAATCTCCTTTCAAACACCGAAAAAGATAAGCACTTTGGGCATCAGAAATCTCCTTTCAAACACCGAGTATGAATTTTTAAGCAAAAGAATTGACATGATCAATAGAAACTTCTTTTCATGGCGAAGTGGATGGTTTAGATAATAGTATTACAATATATTTTATTTTTAGGTCTTGAAATCATAATTTGTATTTACAGCCACATGGTCAAGGTCAAGATGATTGATTTAAAGGTTTTGCGACACCAGAACTACAATTTTCGGTAAGTGTTGAAGTGAGACTTTACTTAATTTGATCGGGCTGCCACCAAAACATTTTCCTTAGATATTAGTGGTATCCACATGCACATATAAAGGCTTTAGGAGGCCATCATGTAGGGATAAGATTAGGCAAAGCAAAGAACTTATCCTTAGAAATAAGTGTTACCTGTTCTGAAGTGAGTAACTAGTTGAAACTCAACTTTTATATGGGATTCTCATGAGTTTCATTATTTTAGACCGGACTATTACACGTGAACTTGAAGATTTTATGTCGTACTAAGTAGTACGTAAATATTTTTCTACAAAAGAACAATAACTAACATGCGTATCTTGGTAACATTTCCATTTACTATGTTATTGTTTTACTTAAAAGTTTTACTTGAGAATAGTCGTGAGAGGTTAGTAAACTGTCAGTGGCATTGTTTCGTACTTTCATATAAGGATGATAGATGGCTATAGAGAGAGATAAATGATTATTTTAAAAGGTATAAAAAATTACCAATCAGGCTTAGACATGCTCGAGTCGGATCAGGATATGGAGGTAGACAATTTCAGGAATCCTGGAATTCGCTTGATTGTCCCGGTTTTCTCTTTTTTTTTAGAATTTTCATATGGATACGGTTTTTTTGAGTCCATGTAGAAATGAGTCACCTCTTAAAAAATTATTTTTGCGATGGAACTTTGGACCTAATTTTTAAAGACATGTAATCATGAATGTGAAAAACTAAATCAATTTTAAAAATTAAAAATAATAATTCTATTAAAAAAAAATTTAAACCATTAGTTTCGATCTATGTAATCTATATGTGAGCAGATAGTGTATCTTCTTCCAAGGTTTCAGTCGTTCTCTTACTTTTGACTTATTTTCTCAAGTAGAAAATATTCTTGTGGAGGAGAACGGCAAACCAAATCTGAGAAGCAAACCACTTTACCCAACGTTGAAAAAACGTTATGAGAAATGTATCTCTAGGTTTCGTAAAGATTAGAAAAGGTTTTACTTTTGTTGCATTCATCATTAGAAGCTACTTGTAGAAAGAGCAAAATGAGGTAAGAATGTCTAGAAAAATACCGATAGAGGAAATGTGATAAGCAAGTAAATCATAGAAAAAACTTCACAATTCTATACCTTCCCCTAAGTCTCAAGAAAAATAATCGCTAGTGGGAGGTGATGTCATGGTTTTCGTATGGCCCTATGGGTCAAAGAGGATAATAATTTTGCAAATTTGAAATAAATAAATAAATAAATGACAAATATGTAGGGATAATCTAAAGTTCACAAACTTTCAAATTACAAAGGTTCAAGTTAGAGAGAGTTGTGAATGATAGATTTATTGATTTTGTAGTCTATTTTTTAAAAAAAGTTACTTTTGTGGGGCAATTTTATAAATATTACTACAAGATAAATGATACTTTTATCATCTCCATAAGAGGTAAAGTTGAAATTTTAACTAAAGGACAAAGGCACTCTACAAATAAAGGTTCAGGACACCAACTTCCAAATTGTCATTGTACTTTTATGAAAATTTCAAATATATCATTGCATAATGGTAAAGTTACTTATTTAAATAATTTTTTAATAAAAAAATAATGATTGTTTTGATAAATACACCTATCACATTGTATTTTGAGGGATTGTTAACTCTAGACAAACCCATACATATATATACATATATATGGTTTCTATATTTATTTTTTAAATATAAAAAAATAAATTATATCTCAAGGTGGTGATGATAAATTAGAGGGTATTTCAACATTAAACAACTTTTATCGCAATCTTATATAAACTTTTGCACATATATATGTATATAGAGAGAGATAAACCTATTTGACAGATTCAATAGAGATCACGTGGGCGTCTTGGAGGCTCAATGATATTAGTTTGTTTTTTTAGAGTGAGAAAGGGAGGGGAGGGCGTAGAGCTTCATTAAACAAGGGAGGGTGATGCGTCATTGAGGAGATAGATTAATTTGGGCTTGAATGGGGAAGATCTTGGCCGTTGGGTGCACCATTTTTTAGGGTTGGTTTGGTGAGGACTGTCCCCGGAAATGGTCGCAATTGATTGAGGGACGTGAGCTTTGCACAATGCATGCACAAGTGTTCAACCCCACCTTCCCTCAAACATTAACCGTCATGCAAATCTCTCTCCCTCTCTTCAATAGAACTAAGGATCTATTTTGCTTTCTCTTTTGAATAATTTCACGTGGTTTTGATCTTGCAACCTTTTTTATGGGATGACTTTATTAGGTTTGCTAGCATCAGGGTTTTATAACTGGGTACCATTAAAACTAAATTAGAAGTAAACTATCACTTTTATTTGAAGTGTTGGCCAAAGTCAGCTAAACCCCCTTCTAAGCATGGGATTGTAGAAATGGGTGCAGTTTGTATAGAGCCGAGGCTCTAAACAATCAAAGTAAAGCGCACCCTCAAATAGTATCGAGAAATGTGGGTTCAATATGTGATAGCTTTAAAATATATTTTCATCTTTAATTATAAAATTTAAAGCTTCAAAAATAGTGTAGATTGAGCAGATCTATGAAGATTTAAAAATCTTCAAAATTAATGGTAAAAAATGCGTTACAAGGTGCATTATTTCTAAAACTTGAAATCCATTTTATTTTTTACAATGTCAAGTCTTTATACTGTTTTATTTGTAAATTTTTTTTTCTATAAATTGTTTTGACACCAAATTTTGTACGTCCATTCCTATATTAAACTCGCACTTACGAAAAATAAAAACAATTATTTGTAATTAAATAAATGACCAAATTACCCCTGTTAGATTCAAGGGGTATTTTGGTCATTATTTTTTATCGAAAAATTATTGTTAATATTTTATATAGGTGTGCCCCAATGAGAAGATGGCACGTACCAAATTTTATATCAAAAAATTGTATTAAAATACTTTGAGATGTCGGATCTAAGATCAAATGGTGAGTGGCTCTCTTGATAAAAAATGGACGGCTGGATGGTAGGGGGAACATAGAACTTCTATGTTGTAGGGAGAACATAGAAAGCTTTCCCCACTTTGAATTACCACATGGAGACTATTAAAGATAAAAATAAGGACCCGGTTTCTATGCGGCCAAGTCTTCATATGTAGAAATGTGGGCCTACTAATAAATCTATTTTTGATACGGATTTTTTGACTTAATTTTTAAGGACATGGACATCATAAATATGAATAAATAATTTTTTAAAACTAAAAACAATAATTTTAATAAGAAAACATTTGGACCAATAATTTCCATTATTTCTAGATAGAAAACTTATGGAATGGATGCTTTACACTTTTTAGACCGTATATGACCGTATATGTAGTTACGCGGTTCAGCCCCCATGAAACAATTTTCGTAAAAACAAAAAATAAAGAACAAAAGGTGCACTGCTAAATGGGCTTAGTCTTGGGAATGATAAACCTAGGTTGCGATGATTATGGAATAAAATGTTATTTAGAAGGACACAGAGTAAAGATTGAACATGAAAACATAAAGTATAATTTGAAGGTGCATGGGCATCACCGTGACCTTATAATATTGAAGGGTTGTTTCTATTTTTTTTCGGAAATGATTATTTAATGAGCATCCTTCGAGCAGGGGTTCCAAAAGAGTTACCATCTCAAGTAAACACGCAAAACTTTGAAAAGTTTGTTATGAAGGGGTTAGGGTTGGTGATGAGAGATTGCACTTGCGTGTACTCGTAAGAGAGAGAGAGAGAGAGAGAGAGAAAGAGTCGTATGATTTGAGCAGGGGAGAGGATATAGAAAACGTACCCAATCAAGCCATTAAATTTTGGGATAGGGGGCCTCAACCGTTAGATGTGAGGTTCCTTTGGGAGTAAAATCCTAAAATAATTTTTTCTAATTCTGTAACACACTTACACACCCCTTAGATTCCATATCTGATGGCCACTGGTGTTTGTGACAATTTTTGTACCAAATGCAATTAATATACAACCCCAGAACTATATATGAGTTGAGACTTAGAGAGAGATGGGAAAACAATAGTATTAGGGAGAGAGATGAGGCTATAAGACAAGGAGATAAGGAAAACCATTTCAGAGAGATGGGGAAGCTACAGGCTCCTTGCTTGGGTATTCAGGTTAGCCAAGTTGGCCATTTCTTCTCAGGATATTTAAAAAATTCAAAAAAATTATAAAAATTTTCAAAAAGAAAAGAACTTTATTTGTGATATATATATATATATATATATTGTGTTTTCTATCATTTTGGTAAATATTGGAAAGTGTTTTGTACGTTAAAACTTATTTTTACATTTATTTTTTTTATTTTTTAGATACCCCTGTCACAAATTGTTTTTTTCAAACCCTATTTTTTCACTACTTTTTTAACCTTATTTAGATATATTTTGTTTAATTTTATGATAAATATTTCAAAAATAAATAAATAGAGAGAGAGATGGGGAAGCTACAGAGTTGTTTCAAATTTACTGACTAAAGGTGAGGTAATAAGCGTTGACTATTGAATAAGTATCCACGTAGACAAGGCAAACCTAATTTGGAGCGACCTATGTGTCCAAGGTCAAGGAAGTAGAGAGACCCGTTTGCCCTGTTCTCGCGGCAATACCCTAACTGCTTCATATATTTACAATAACTGATATTTTTTTAAAAAAAAATCTTATTTTTCTAAAATGCCCCCATCGTCAGCACTTTGAATAGCTTCCATGCATTTATATTAAATATATTCATACACGTCCATCCAAAACTCTAAAATCATCACAATAATAAATTAATCAATGAGAAGTTTAAGTTAACTCAATAATAAATTAATCATCGCAGCCATAAATCATATTAGTTATACTATTGATTCTTCTGCGCATTTCAATAAGCATTGTTTTTTTTTTTTTTACCAAAATAACTGCTACGGGTAACAATAATGGTACCTCACACTTATAATAATAACAATAATAAATATTATTACTCAAAGTGCATCTAGGACATGAATTAATTAACATTTTGTCCAGTGCCTTGCATTTAATTCCAAAATTATATCAAAATACACATTATTATAAGTTGGAATGGCTAAAAAAAGGGTACAGTGTTGATAAGTTTGGTGCAGTGTTCAAATCCACAACTTAGGAGACGGACTCGCCCCACTAGGCCCGAGTCGGGCAGGGTCACAACCAAGCAAAAAAGTGTTAAAATTAAAAATGGAAAAAAATTCTAAAAATTAGGAAAATTATTTTTAATTAAAATTAAACCAAAAAAATCTAAATGAGGTGAAAAAAGTAGTGAAAATTGGATTTTTGAAAAAAAAATCACTTTTTGACAGTGGTATTTTTGAAATAATACAAAAAGAAAGAAAAATATAAAAAAAGATATTCAGAGCCAAAATACGTCCAATCTTTGCCAATATGTTAGAAAACATTATATATAT